GTACTGTGTACTAAATAAATATCAGTTTTATTTTTTCCATTTCCTTACGCATTTATAACTGAAAGTGAGAGAGTTTTTAATGTTTCTGGCAAAATTTTTAAAGGTCACAGGACAATCATAATTTTCCCCATTGATTATTAAGATGGCTTTGCATGGTTTTAACTTGTATGGTCATCTTTTGGTCCTACCTGTATATAAAATTAATGAGTTAAATGTATCATTTCAGAAATTAGAAAAAGAACAGCAGAATAATCCCAAAGATAGTACAAGGAAGAAAACAAGGGTAAGAGTAGACATTAATGAAATAGAAAATGAAGATACAATGGAGAGAACTGAAATAATTCGTGAATAATCAAGCAAAAATGTATATTATTACAAACGTATCACCTACTTTATGGAAGAGAATAATGTCAATGAAAAAAATTGGTACTGATTTTTGAATTCTCAAATACTTGTGAACATATGAAGCGGCAACAGAGAGGCATCTTTCTGGTCTGTGAAACTTTAGAAAACACAAGGCACATTATCTCATTTCATCTTCAAACAACCCAGAACGTGCTGCTGTCCTCTCCCTTAGTCCTGCCAACCACTCATAAGGTGACCTGTTGCCCAGGGTGGTGTAAGTTGACAGCAGCACTGTAACAACACAAGCTTTACTGAGCATCTCTCAGGTGTTGGGCAGTCTCAGGGGAAAATAAGACCTGGCCTGGCCTCCCTGTCCTGGGTCACAGGATCGTTCCCAAGCAGCACCAATGCCACCTACCATCCTCTCGCAGAGGTCACGACCTCCACAGCCCTTGCTCTGCCTTGCTTGGCTGCAGAGCACATGGCTAAGGACACAGGACCCAATGTGGTTGCCCCATGGAGGTTATCTCACCACCACGCAGAAGGCTGTGACTGCCAAGTTTACCCTATGGTCTACCAGCCTCCCCAGGGAAACGCAGGGTGAGCATCCACCCTGCAGACCTTGGAGGAAACATCTATCCACGAGGCTCCTGAGGATGAGATGAGGCAACACACGAAGGACCCGGCACACAGCACGCACTTAGTGAGACCTGAGTTTCTATGTGAAGCACAGCTGTACAAAAGTCAAGCAATACGTGTAAGAAGGCATACATATGTAAGTAAAACTTCTGTTAGTTTCATCTTCCTCAACCCTGTAACACCTGGTGTTTATGGTCAGGACCCTAGTGAAGCCACCATTTCTGAGGGGGCCAGTGAGCTCCAATCACCACACCTGCCAGCCCCTCCCCAGTCTTCGGCTGCTCTGACACCAACGATTCCCTCTCATCTCCTTCTTGAAAAGGTCCCCGTCGTGGGGTTCCTGTTTTCTTCCTCTTCAGCAACCCGTGATTGGCTGCCTCTTTCCTTTCCCTTCGCCTCAGTGAAGTGCAGTAAGTGCAGAGGTGAAGAGCTCAGATCCTCAAGTCGGACCACCTGCTAACTGTGTGACCCAGTCACCCACTTCACCCCTGGGTCTTACGTGGAAAACGGAGACAGTGGAAGTGCCTGCACCCAGATCTGTGCAGGACGGCTCTGAGGACTAAATGAGACGCTGAACTAAAGGCCCTGTCAGGCACTGGGTCCTGTGCCCGAGGAGAGCAAGCACTCAATGTTGGCTCTTAGGCACAAACTCACCGGAAGAAAAGCCTGGAAAGAAATATGGCAGTGATAAAAGAGGCTGTGAGACCGTGCAGGTACATCAGCAGAGAGGAAGATGAGAGGAGGAAAGAAAGGAGAGAGAAGCGGAGGCAGGGAAGATGCCCCAAGAGTTTGTGATGAAAAGATACCCAAAGGCTTGAGAAGAAAAGAAAAAGGACAGAAAAACAAAAACTACCCCACATCCCTAATTCATCTTCTGTGCTTGGGAGTCCCACTTCCCAAATAGGAATAGACTAGGAAGGATGGCTGTGTTCTACTGGAGAAACAACAATCATAAATAGAGTGTGAAGTACACACATGATAGTAAAACCACACAACCCATGTGGGAGAAAAACACTATCCCAATCAGAGACACAAGCAAAACATGGCAGCACTTTGCAGCTCACGGTACAGCTAAAGCAGTAACGCGTGTTAAGTCCTTTCCTTTCACTGAAAGCCGTTGAAACAAGACCTCTGATAACCAGAGCTGCCTGACTGGTGGCACCATCGGGTGTCCTCCTAACAGCTGTGCCCTCTCCCTGTCGATGTATCCCTTGGCCAACCATGCCTGGGAATACTGCTGCTGGGTCATGGGCGTGTGATCCAAATCAGGCCAGAGAGAACAAGAGGGTGTGTGCTGGGGCTCCTGGGAAAAGGTTTCCTCCTCTGTAAAGGGTGCTCCTTCCTGCTTTTGGACATAGTGGGAAGAGGGAGGGTGTGATGACTGAGACTAGCAATGGCAGGGCAGCCACCTTGGTACCATGAGGAGCTGGGCTTTAGGACGAGAAGAAAGAGAGAAAGAACCAGAGTCCTTAGTAATGATTAACCAAGAATCCCCTGTTCCTGGCCTTCTTATGTGGGATAATAAACATCCTTATTGCTTACACCACTGTTTGTTGGGTATTTTGTTACTCGTGGGCAAGAGCATCTTAAATGATTCACACAGCACTGGGTGAGCTGATGCCGAAAGAGGGACATCAAAATGAAAACACCCATAGCTAGAAGTCAGAAATGGTACTGCTGCAGCTCTGTGCTACTGAGGCCGACCCAGAAGACAAAAAGTAAAAGGCTAATCAACACACACACACACCTTTTCTTTCCTCTAAAGTGAGAAGAGACTGAAATGCTTAGCTTTGCCACCCTGATTTACATTAATAATGTATGTGGCCAAGTTTTCCAAGTTGAATCCTCACTACAGATTTCTATGAATTAAGTAAATATTTTTAGCCAGAGGGTATTTTCCTCCCAAAGCAAAAATTTTAAACGGAAAATTGTATAACTATAGGATTTTTTTTGCGGGGGTGGGGCGTGGGAAAAGAAAGGCTTTTCAGAGATAATACCCTTCAGGAATGAAAATTTTGAAATGATTCATAATCTTCACGTATGTAATACCCCTTCAGTTTTTAACAAATGGAATTTGTAACATAAGTTTCATAATAAAATATGAAGACCAATACCAAAATGTCAGTAACTAGATCAGAAAATCTTCTTGAAAAACAAGAAAGGTACAATCAACTTTAGATCTCTTTTTTCTATGAATTGTCCAGTGCTCTTCCATACAGGAATTTAAACAGATATAGGGTAGTATTTTAGTCTAAACTTTAACAACAAAATAAAAAACTAAGCAAATCAAAAGAAGTAAATGTTAGGCCTCCAAAAGCAACTCCTACTAGGATTGCACTTTATCATGGAATGGCTGCAAATGAGTAGGAAATTAACTTCATGATAGAGTGAATATAAGCAAAAGGACAACTTGGAACAAAAATGGCAGCAAGTAATTTCCATTCCCTCTGAATGAAATACAGAAAGAAACTGCACCATTGCAACATATTTTCCTTATTGAAACCGAAATTTTAAGCTCGTGTTTATAACAACACGGTTGCTGTGGAAACAGCTGATTCAACATTATGAACTCACGGCTGAATCAAATAAGGTGTGGAACAGAAGTCTTATTTAAACAGTGGCAAGAATCATAAATCATTAAAAAGGCAAACTGAATGACGGTGAGTCAAAGCACCATATGTTTTAACATAAGGGTCATATTTTTTTTTCCCCTGATGCCTGACACAAATAGGCTGTTTCTTTTTAATTTAGTTCTATTTTTGGAACCCTATAATCACCCCAATCATCCCTCAAATGTCCTAAATTTTACTATCTGCTTCTGTCTACATAACACAGTGTGTATTTTATTAAATTGATCCACTTTGGACAGAGTTACTATAGTTCACACCTTGCCAGAACAACAGAATACAAGTCAGGGCTTTGAAAATTTTCTACACGTAACTGATTCTATTCAGTATCGCAGTACTGACTTATTTATCACCCAGCATCACTTCAGGCTTAGCTTTTGCCTACAGGTTTCAAGACTACTAACTCTTCCCGTACAAAAGCTGTCAGAGAATGTTAACGAGCGCCCAGATCCACTGCAGACGCAGCAGCCCAGCCCCCCAACCCCAGAACCATCATCACACCTTGAATTTGTTCCTTGGCTTTTATGGGTCAGTTAGGAGTTTTCCAAGCAATCCTGAAAACCCTCAAGACACTTAACATACGAATGGTGTGAATTATTTGAACCTTAAACATATGCACCTTTACCCCTCTGCTTCCCTTTCCACTTTTTAATTGGAGAGGAACACACATTTCTTTAAACACACACTTTACCAATCCTTTCCTCTGGTTTTCTGAACCTTTCAAATTCTGACAAACATTTTAAACTCTGAAATGTTACCTTCTGTCAAGTAAAACGTATTTAACAAGTTATTAAAAGGATGGTTATGTGTGGGGCTATTAAAAAAAAAAAATCCACCTTTCCCCGCTTCAGAGATGGTACGGTGAACCAGCTCTGTAAATAGAAGCCTTGGTGCTGCCGAGGGTGCGGCTGCCCTCGCCCTCCGCGTGTGCACAGGGGATCGATTCATACCAGCAAAACCGGAAAAATCACAACTGAGAGCAACTGTGGAAGCAGCGATGGCCAAGAGCAGAACGTAAAGGGGCTGGACTCTGCAAGGTGAGTCACAGGAAACGGTCTGCCAGAGGCCGGAGGCTGTGTGCACATCCCCTTCAGTTAAAAATGTGGCTCAAGGCTCCCCCAGCTTCACGCTTCAGGGATCAGCAGGGAACTAGGGCCCAAACCTCAGAGGCAGAAGCCCAGTTCCTAGTGGCCTGCCCTTAACTAAGCCTCCACTTTGGACAGACCACGGAGGAGTCAATCACTGCAGAGGTGAACAAACCCGAGTGCTGGGCTAGCCCTCTTCCATTCTGGATCTGGGCCACTTTATATGTTCTCATCAGGGCTTGCAGGACAAAGGCTCTGGAACCGCGCTCAAGTTGGGTGTATATGTAACGGACGGTCAGCTCACCCAGCTCTGTCGACACAGGGGACCCGCTGGCAATCTCACCGATCTTGGCCACTCCATCGTAGTAGGCTTTTCCCGCCAGAATCATAGCTAGACAGGGAAGGTGACACACACAATCATCACTGACACACGGAAAGGAGGAAACGACACAGAGGTTTTCTTCTAAACACCCCGGAGTCCCTCGCGGCTGAGGCAAGTGTGGCTCTCAGGGGGCAGGGCTTGAGCTTGCGAGCTGTGCCAGGGGCAGAGGTCCCTCCACTGCACTCCTGCAGGCCCCCCACCCACCGGAAAGCCCTCATGGGATCCTCGCCTCCGACCAGCCCTGGGGAACCTTCAGCAGCGGCAGAGGCTGGGGGTCCGGAGAAGGTTCTGCCTGCTCCTCAGGCCAGCTCCAGAGGGGATATGTTCCTAACACGGAATTGGGGCTGGAACACATCCACTGCAGCAAGCTGGTCATTCTACAGCAATCCAGGTCTGCAATACTGTTAGCTAGAGGGGCTTGTGTGGGCTGGTCTAGGTGCCTGGGCCTTCTATGGCATTTTTACTTTTTCTACTGAAAAAGATATTCTGAGACACAAGCAACTACCATACTTGTTGCCAGGAGAGAAATCTATGAAATCTGAAACATATTATCATTTAAAAAAAAAAAAAAAAGAAATTACCTGAAAAATAACTGAATGCTCTGCTTTTCTTTCCGCTCTTTTTTGGCAGAGACAGGAAAACTCTTACTGCTATACAAGCTGGATTCTAATTAACTTGAAAATCACATTTCTCCTTTCAAACTGATTCTGAAAACTACATTATAAGGTACAGAAATATGCTTTTGATTTGTTTTTCTTTTCCTTTTTTTCCCTTTCCTTTTTCTTTTTTGGGGGGTGTGGGGAGGTTGTAGGTGGGAGTCAGGAGCAAGACAAATCTGGGTTTGGATTCTACTGTTACTTCCAACAACATGACCTTCTTGGGCATGTCCTTTTTGAAACAAAGGATTTGAATCTATAAAATGCCCTAACAGTGAGTATTGGACAAACTAATGGAAGCTGCTAATACCCATTCCTTCTGTCACTTTACACAGGCTGGGTTTCAGGAGACTGAAGGTGTACAACAAGCAAGCTTTTCAATAAGATCTAGCCTATTTAGTGTGACTTTGGAGAAAATATCTTATCCTGCTCAAAGGCTAGCTGCATACACAGACATCACTTTGCCCGGTAGCTTTGGAGACCACAGGATTTGGGAGATAAAAGAGCCCTAAGCAACCCCTCTCAGGCTCCTTTCCTCTCACTGAGAAGAAAACCTGAGGCCACACCAGTTTATAATGAGTATTGTTTTTATTTTTATTTTTTTTATTATTATGATTTTTTTTTTTTTTTTGCGGTACGCGGGCCTCTCACTGTTGTGGCCTCTCCCACTGCGGAGCACAAGCTCTGGACGCGCAGGCTCAGCGGCCACGGCTCATGGGCCCAGCCGCTCCGCGGCACGTGGGATCTTCCTGGACCGGGGCACGAACTCGCGTCCCCTTCGTCAGCAGGCGGACTCCCAACCACTGCGCCACCAGGGAAGCCCATGGGTATTGTTTTTAAAAGATGAATTTTAAAAGGTATTTTAAGTTTTAAAAAGGTGGGGGAGGAGGTCACAGAATGAATTAATGCCCAAGTCCCGCTGAAGATACTGCAGGCCAAAAAAAGTAGTATTTTCATGGCAAATTAATCTATTTTTGCATGTCTTGTAGAATTAAAAAAATTATGAAAGTTACAGCTTTTACTACATATATATACAACTTCAAGAAATCTAATGCTCTACTATAATAAGACTAAGGATAACTGTAAAGTGTAATTATAAAAAAGAGCAGTAACAAATAGCATTTATGTAAACTTTCCAAATCATTACTTAAATTAATTAATCTACCACACTACATTAAGACATAGGGTGGTGACGTTATCACCCTGTTTCACGAAGTGGAGCACAGAAGAGATATTCTGGGACACGCCCAAGGTAAATGGCGAAGCAGAGGCAGTGCACACAACCCCGGCAGGTCTAAATCATGGTGCCTTTTGATTCTTTGGTCTCAGCTAGCACTGAAAAAGAGATGACTCCACTGACAAACAAGGTTTATAGGCAGTAAACTGTCAAGTTAATATATGTAATATTTTAGTGGGAAGATTTAAAATTGCAAGGTGCTGATAAGCTGAAAAGCAAATTAACGGGGGAGAATGGTAATACAGGATTACACAACACTTAAATAAAATTTTTGGTTTGCATCCACACATTGAAATTTTTTCATTAACTGTTGACTTATGTTTAAAACTATTTTACCTTCTTAGTCTAGTAAAATATCCTTTTATGATAAAGCTGCATTAACTTAAACATTATAATTTATCCAGAAAAAATAAACTAATATTTTCATAATTCTGTCCCCTTTTGTGGATATATTAGAGGCTTTCTACCACTTACTGTTTTAAGGAATGAAGCTTATTACTTTTTAGTGGTTGATCAACTACTTCATCAATGTAAACTACACGTTTCTACCAGAAAAACTTTCCTTAAAATATCAATATGATTTCACTAGGTTACTGTTCTGCTCAAAAGCCTTCAATGGGCTCCCACTGGCCACAGGGTAAGCCTGTCACACTCCACAGAGTTCATCGTAGATTTTTACAGGCATGGCCTTCAATGAATCACACCTCCCGGAATTCCCAGCTGGTATAGTTGTCTAGGATGCTGATAGGCTGTTTGGTCATGTGACTTGCTTTGGCCAATGGGGTACGAGCAGGCATAACTCCCACGGGGCTTGTGCTCTTGGGACAGCCAGCTATGCCTGAGAGAGGAAGTGAGCTCAGCCACAGTCCACTGCAACTGCAGAGTCCCAGGGGTACAGACAACTGCACTGCCTTTACAGGACAACTGAAAATAATGAACTATTGTTGTCTTAGGCCACCAAGCTTAGAGGCAGTTTGTTATGAGGCAATAGGTAACAGATGCTGCATCCAAATGCATAGTAGGACCTTATTCCACCTTATGTTTTACTGTCCCCTCACAGCTTCTCACGCATGCTAGCGTGGACCCCCGGTCTCAGCTTGGATGCTGTCTTTTCTGCCTGAAGCACTAGTAAGCAGCGTCTGCCTACTGAAACCTAACGTCTGTCAACTGGCTCAGCTCCTACAGGGCCTCCTGCCTGCTCCATACTCCACCGGCCTCCTCTCAAACCCCTGTGCCGCTGCTCGGCCTATGCTCTTCATCAGCTGTGCTGCTGCGCTGGGCTATAATCTAACTGTTGACTGCACATCTGGCACCCTCGACTATACTACAGATTCTTACCAACGACTTTACACATTTTATTGAAGTTTCTCAATGGCTTCAGCCAAAAACAGATGGCCTGCAGAAATACTGGAACACATTATGAAACGCAGAATAGGCCCCAGGAGGTGTTAAAGTGGTAGAGGCTGCTGGGGAGAAACCCTGTTAGCAGGAGGCTAAGCTGTGGGCTCTTCACTGCGTCACCTTGTAAAACTGCCTCAGAGAGGCAGCTCATGCTAGAAAGAAAAAAATCACTGCAGGTCAGAGTGATTTCCTTCCCGGGGATGGATAAAGTGATGACTTTGTGGTCTTGTGACTAGGTAATCATCAGGAGAGAGTCAGCTTCCAAAACAAGGCTCCAGTTCTTTGAAGAAGGGAGGGGGCACCCATAGAAGTCACTGGTACTGCTAGAGGGAGAGGGAGGGAAATCCCAGGCCTGCTGCATTTCCTGACACTGAACACATCTGGCCAAGAGCACAGAGATCCAGAAGGAAGTCAATAAGCAGTTTACTTTTGCAGTGACTAAAACGATAGTTTGTCCGTAATCCAAAGTCCCGAGTCTTGCCAGCACCTCCCCTTTCCTGGAGCAGGCTCACACTGAGGGTCTGAGGGCGCAGGTTTATTTTCAAAACATCATCAGGGAGCAGCCAAAGGTGGGGTATCGTGAAAGAGAGAAAAAGAGGGGAAAAAAAGACACAAAGCTTGGTCTGAAGCCTTCTTCAAATCTCAAACCGCTGGAAATAAAATTTTCTGCTTATGTTACGTGCTGGTCTTAGTGAACCAGGGTAGATGGTAAAACTGGAGTCTGAATATTTTGGGGGTGACACTTGCTACATATGGAGAATTGTTCTGACCATGTTAGAATTTGGTGATTGTTAGCATCTTGAGTTTTCAAGGTGATCACTGATAAGGGACTTCCCTGACGGTCCAGTGGTTAAGACTTCACCTTCCAATGTAGGGGGTGTGGGTTCCATCCCTGGTTGGGGAGCTAAGATCCCACATGCCTCAGGGCCAGAAAACCAAAACATAAAACAGATGCAATACAGTAACAAATTCAATAAAGACTTTAAAAAAATGGTCCACGTCAAGGTGATCACTGATAACGTTCCCCTTTTGGGAGGGGAATGCATGTGTAGATGCACATTGGCTTCCTCAGATGAAACCTGTTCAAACCAGCAAACAACTCTGGTTCACAGAGAGACAAAAGCCAATGCCTGAGTTCATTTTAAATTAAGCACTCATTTTGAAATGAGAATCTAAGTTCAACCTTTAATTTAGATGTCTTTCCTTTCAGGCTAAACATTTTATTTCTCATATTACTATCAAAAGTGATACACTCAAAGACAAGAAATTCTTCTACATAAATAAAAAGGAGAATAATTCCTATGCTTCAGGATCTTAAAATTTTAAGTACATTTTTTATATATGTTATTAGTTTACAAAGAATTTGGTGTAAAAAGTAGAAAACATGTTTATGTCAATGATATAAAAGATTAAGCAGTGTCAAAAAGCAAAATCTGATATTTAAGATATGTCACTTTTGGTAGCCTATTATTCAACTTACTCATTTCAAGTATACTAATATCCTATCATTGCAAAGTTCTACAGATTAATTAAAAACGGTTTCTACCAATTTAAAGATATTTTAAAAATTCAGTAGCAAGCATTTAAAGATAATTAAGTAAAATATTTAATGAATGGCTTTCATATGCATTCTATATTTATAAATTTAGAAAAGAGACTTACCATTAACAGCTTTTTCGTAATTTTTTCCTAGGTTTATTAAATTTCGTAGCCCAGGATTGAACTGTTCCATAACATTCTGACAAACAAACAAACAAAAAACAAATTAATAAAATAAGCGAACAGCAGACCAAGTAATCTTTAGACGGTGTCACTGCATAGCCTAGGATCCCCACGTGTGCCTGATGGTACCGTCCACAAAGCCATGATTTGAAAGTAGTGAAGAGCACTTCCATCCTAACTGATGGAGTGGTGAGGTGCATGTGACCCTGGCAGTTCCCTACCTGCCCAGGAGCTGCCTAGAATTTACTGTAAATGAAGCAGGTAGCAGACATTCCATCTCTACAAAGTATACCCTGTGGGGGCCATGAGTCCAGAAGCTGATGCTCCCTTTTGGGTTTAGCTAAGTTAATGGCTGTCATGATAGTGCTAAGAAACAGGGGCACATGATAGGAACTTAATTATATGGGCAGTGTTTTGGCTATCAGTAGAACAGGACTTTCCAAGTGATGTTGTTTTTGCTCTGCCTAATTACTGGGGAAGGGATGGGGGTGGGTGTTGCTGATGGCCCTAAGACATAGGCCAGCCTAGAACTTTCTTTCTAGGTGGTCACTGGCATTTTTTTCCCAGCCATCAGTTCATTCATTATTCATGGAGTGTGCGGTAGGTCCTGTGCTCACAGCAGTGAGGGGGAGACGTGGTTTCCCATTATGGACTTCATGAGGCTCTATCTCTGCAGATGTCATGGTTTTCATTTTTAAAAGTGTCATTTCTATATCACTAGAAGGTCATAAACATAGAGAGAAATGCTATAAGTATAAAACAGGCAATGATTTAGAACATTGACCTAAATTTAAAATGCTACCCTAAATCTGAAGTACAGACAAGAAATCATTCCTATGTGTCTCTGGCTTTGTGACCCAGAACACACAGTGACAGTATATCTGTCACACCTACAAACCATAAGGTTCACAATATGAATCATTCCAGATAGACCAGCCAAATCCCTTTACCCCCCTCCCAAAATGTGTACCTTGTTTGTAGAGGACCAAGCAACAAAAAGAATAAAAAACCATACAACATCCAAAGCGGCAGATACTTGACACATTATTCTTTGGGATAAAAAGGTCCTCCATTACGAGTTAGTAGAAAAAGACTATAATAACTTTATTAGACAGTATAAAGGCTTATCGTGAAAAAGAACCCCTGCCCCAACCCTTCCCCACCCCTGGCCTTACACCCACATAACAGCTTGCTTGCAAGTGCTCTTTTGTATTTGCTGCCATAGTTTTGACGAATATTCCTGGCTTCTCAATTTTGGACAATAAGTACTGGATTTCTGCTATGGTAGACAACCCTACTTTCCCTTTCCCAGTCTCTCCTATACAATTAAATAACAGTTTCCTGGTAAATCAACAGTCAAGGTTTATTATGACTTTGTAAATACTGGTCACTACAATGCAAGGAATGTACAAGAATTATGCTTCCTTTCTTGATATACTCTTTTTGTTTCTCCTGGGATTAATAATTGTCTCATTCCCACCCCCGCCTTAGATTTTTCTATGTATCTACCTTAAATGTTTCCACACGCTCCACTGGATCTCATAGGAGCCTATCACTGTTTTTCAAATGTACAAAGCTGTCAGCTAATCTTCCATTCCATTTTTTCCCCCAGAACTTCCTCCAAGGACTCTCCGTCCTCTTACTCAGTCCAGCCTGACCGTTCCTGCCACACTGTTGCCCTTGCATGTCCCTTTCTGGTCCCCTGTGTGACAGTCTCATTAGCTAGATTCCACATCTTCCTCCTTCTTCATTTATTTTTTTTATTTTTATTTTGTTTGCGGTACGCGGGCCTCTCCTGTTGCGGAGCACAGGCTCCGGATGCGCAGGCTCAGCGGCCACAGCTCACGGGCCCAGCCGCCCCGCGGCACGTGGGATCCTCCCGGACCGGGGCACGAACCCGTGTCCCCTGCATCGGCAGGCGGACTCCCAACCACGGCGCCCCCAGGGGAGCCCCCTCCTTCTTCATTTATTGCTATCCGCTGGAGATCATTCTCCAACAGTGACCTAAGAAATGACGCAGGAGGTAAATTTGAGTCCCCACATGTCTGAAATTATCTTTACTTTGACATTTAACTGGTATTTTGCTGGGCTGTGTACTACACGTTGAAAGTGATTTTCCCTTCGGGTTTTAAAGATATTGCTCCAGTCTTCAATATCCAGTTTTGCTATTGAGAAGTCAGCTGTCATTTGTATATGACTTTTTTTTTTGGTGGGGGGCAGGTGGTGGGAGGCGGCTTATTTCTGGAACCCTCCTCTTTATCCCTGTGCTCTGAAACTACCCAATGGTCTGCCTCAGTGTGGGTACTTTTTTCATTTACTTTACTGGGCACTCAATAGACCCTACCCATAGAGAAAATTATGTCCTTCAGGTCTGAAAAGTGTTCCTGTTTTGATTCTTGCCTCTTCATTCTCTGGAACTCTGAGGAGGATTTTATATGACCTGGATTTATTCTCTAATCATCTTACCCTTTTTCTCTGATTTTCCAATTTTTGTTCTATCTCTGACAGATATCCTCAACTGTACATTCTAACTCCTCTGATGCTTTTCAAACTTTTTGGGCTCTTTCAGGTTTTTTTGGTTATTCCTTTTTAAAAGCATCCTGTTGTTTTATGGATGCAGTATCATCTCTTATCTGAATAAACTGTAATTTGGGGGATATTTTCTGCCAGTTCCCCATATTGTCTGGTTATTTCTTCTCATTGTTTGGTATCCAACTGTCTTTTGTGTTGGAGGCTTTCCCCAAATGTCTGGTGATCCTTGACTTTCAGTTTGTATTTAAGAGTAAAGCCCTGAAATGTTGGCTGGAAGTGTGTGCGCATGCATACAGGGTGGCTACTGACCAGTAGGCTTCATTCAGTGACTGGACAGCAAGTCAGCTGTAAAGAAACTGGCCAAGTGACAGTAACCAGGGGCCACTGGGTCTCTCCAGAGAAGTTTCTAATTTCCTATCACTGGGCGGGGGAAGGGGCAATCACCAGGTGGTCAGCTTTCCCAGGTCTGGAAGGGGGTTGGGAATCCCACAGGTTTCCTGTGATTTTTCCTGAATTCCAGTACCTCAGCTGGTGTTTCCAAGTCAAGAGTGCCTCTGATTCAACACATCCTGAGACTGAATCTCCAGGCTGCCACACCGAGGGAGCAGCTGTAACAGTGGTGGCTGGGGCAGGAAAGGGGACCTGGCAGTTTAACCACCTGGGTAACTCCTATTCTAGCCCTGCGTGTCCCCTCCATCTCTACCTTCTGTGGGGCCTGTTCCCCAGCCTTTGGGGTTCTCTGGGGTGAAGGGCTCAGCTCTCACTGGTACTCCTCTCTGCAGTTTCTTTCAGTCCTCTTAAGGCACTTTACCACACCTCCGTCCATTTCTAACAACCCAAATTTCTTTAGGCCTTTTGTCAACTGATATTTCCTTTTTCAGGTCTCTACACTATGGATTTACAGGCGTTTTCTTTAAGTTTCTTTGCCATCATTTTAATGTATTCTCAAAAGGAAGAGAAGAAAAAGACTTGAGGTCAATAGGCCACGCTTAACTGGAAGTCCACTCAGCTTGTTTTCCTGGAGCCAGTCAGCTGTTTGAGCCTCATTCACAACCAGTAGCCATGAAGCTCCAGAGCCGATGCTGACCCCTCACCAGTCCCTCTGCAAGATGGTCAGCCTCAGTACCTGATCACGGGGACCTGTCGCCACAGCTGCTATTTCTATCATCTTTCCTCAAGTTCTTTGTTTTGTTTTTAAGCTTTTAATTTTGAAATAGTTTAAGAGTCACAAGAAGTTATAAAAACTGTACAAAGAGTTCCCATGTATGCTTCCTCCAATGGTAACTTATATGGCCATAGTACATCATCAAAATGAGGAAACCAACATTGGTACAACACTATTAAACTACAGACCTTATTTGGATTTACCAGTTTTCATGTCTCTAATCTGCAGGGTGTGTGCCTTGTTTATATGGAATTTTATCACATGTATTGATTTGTATAACAGTCACCATCACCACAGTTATTATACAGAACTGTCCCATTAGCACAAAGATCTCCCTGATGCCACCCCTTTACAGCCACACCCTCCCCACCAATCCTAAGCCCTGGCAACCGCTGATCTCAGTCACAATAGTTTTGTCATTGTGAGGATGTAATATAAGTGGGTCACCGTATGTGACCTTTTGAGATTTACTTTTTCACTCAGCACAATGCCCTTAAGAACCATCCCAGTTGCTGGGCGTATCAAGTTTGTTCCCTTTCTTTGCTATCAGTGGTCCAGAGAATGAATGCATCACAGTTTATCCATTTAACTGTTGACCATTTGGGTTGTTTCCAGTTTTTAGCAATTACAAATAAACCTGATATGGACAATCATGTACAGGTTTTTGTGTGAACATGAGTGTTCATATCTCTAGAATAAACACCTGGGAGTTCAACTGCTGCGTCACATGGTAGGTGTACATTTAACTTCATAAGAAACTGCCAAACTGTTTTCCAGAGTTGGCTGTACTATTTTACATTCTCATCGGCAATGTATGAGATTTCAGTAATTTTAAAAATCTAATAACTTCATTAGAAAATGGTTGCTTTCTAATAAAAAAACTATTTTTCAAATACCTCATCTACAATCCTTAAAATAATCTTACAACACCAAGTCTGGATGGTAAGAATATAAGTTCTAATAAAAAGATAAAACTATTTTTAAAACATCATTTAAAATTCTTAATCTCACGTGGCTGAGTCTAGATGGTAATATGTATAAGGAAATCAATACAGAGCAAGCTCCGTCCTCTAGCAGATAAGCAGTTACAAAAAGAAGATAAGATCTGTGTTTTTTCTTAAGATTATTCTTTGTTCAGCGTATTCAAATAATGGGAAAGTATAATTTGATTTCTTGATATAATTCTTGAAATGTTTACATATAACTCCCATCTTAAAATTTCAAAAACAATGAAATAATGAGAACTTCCAAAGTTAATACCAAGCATAAACCACTATCCAAATGATTCAACAGGAAAAAAAGTTCAACTAAGA